GGGTCTCTCGCCTACCATATTTGTTCTTTCTGTTTGTTTTGTTTCGTCATTTTGGATTCCGCTCAACATTTTTGTCTTTGTGGGTTTTCGTTCGTCTCCCAGCAAAACTCTACTTTCGCGTATATTTGGCATGAGTTTGTTTCTCGTTTCGCTTCTTCACTATATTCTATGGAGATATAATGTCAGGGTCTTTCTTGGTTAACCTCCACCATAAATTGCACGTAACTAGGTCCATGCTTCTTCTTACCTCATAATAGTAAGTAGACATAACTATTTCGATGACTTAACTCATTTAATAATGATGCCTTTAACACGAGATGCTATGCAGGGTACAAGCATACTGGTGAGCTGCCTCCCCGTTTTAATTTACACGTGAAAATGATGCTTTCAGCACGATACTCTATGCAGGGCGGAGGCGAATTGTGTGATTTGTGATACCTCTGACATGTTGTGCACTGAGTGGATGGTACAATATGCGATACGTGTGATGGGATACACAATGAATAAATTATATGGTATGTGATATTTATGGTAATGTTATATTATTTATGGTATAGGAAGGACAGTCTATTCAGGAAAATAGCTGAACCTGCACAGCCTTCGGTTCCTAGTTATTTGCTTTCCCTGAAGGTTCCTTATGCTACAAGCGAGGCACCAGTTGCTCATTTTCATCACCGTCGGATGTATGCTGATACCACGTTAGGATACAGATCACTTACTATTATTATAAGGGCTTTGCCCACGTGGTAGGTTTATCTCTAGTTGCGCGCAGTCTGTCTACTAAAGGCAAAACAACTCTCTAACCGTTGTCGCCAATGTTGGTGCGTACAGTACAGGGGGCTTAGTTCTGGTCTGGGTTGTCTTGCAGCACGTGTTGCAACGAGGTGGGTTACTAACCAGGTTGAGGCACGTACAGGCAAAGCGGTATCCCTTTGCTTCCTCTCCCAAAGCTTTTGCTGCAATATTTGTTTGCCTTCTCAATTCTTAGCGTTATCTGTGGCTCTCGTCAATCGCCTCTCTTCTCTTCTTCTGCTTTTGTCCGCCGCAGAAGCAGAGGACGAACCTTCATGTGACACAAATAGCAAATCACTAACAAGGGATTTGTTGTTCTTGTAAAGCTCAAATCGGAAAGCTGTTTGTCTTCCATGAGTTTCCACTGTTGTCTTCTTTGCCCTGACGTTGGATGGCCCCGGATTTGCTTCAAATATTAGCGGTCTTCGAATACTAATTTAACTCTTTTGACGTCGACTTAACAATTTGTTTGAATAAGCAGCACAACACTTTGCTACGTGTTGCGCGAGAGGCCAGCTACCTGCATACAGTTCGCTGCCTACCCGACCGGTACGTTTCGGAGTTTAATCAAAGTCCACGACGCAATAAAACTGGGATCGTCGCTGCAAGTTGGAGAAAAAACTGCAACCACCATATGAGGTGGAACGGACGCAGAGTATAAATCCTGAACTCTGACGTTCCCCCATTGATTCGCTGCATCTGGCCTCCATGCTTCGCCTGTTGCTTGGAACAGCAGTTAACGCTTGCCTGTTCATGCAGCAAGTGAAGCTTCTTAGCCTGAAGCCAACAAGCGTAGCTTGGTTGACAAAGTGCTCTGTAGACTACCTGACGAGGAAGCGGGGTGGCTAGCTAGCGAGCTACCGGAAGGTTGCTTCTCTAGGAAGAGACGACGGCCAGCATAGCAACCAAACCGGCA